AGTTAAATTAATAAAGGGTATCAAACAACAAGAACACACTTTTTGTAGAAAGCAATGATTAAAATTGAGGCTTCCTGACCAGTGATTTACATCAAATCTACCCTGAGAGAGCAGCATTTATCGAGTTGATTGCATGAGTATTGAGATAACACACAAAAACAATGCTTTCCACCCCAACCTATGATACTTCAAGTAACAAGCAGTTTTCATTTCTAGAAGACAATAAAGTAGACAAGTCAAAAGTTCCCAAGCAGAATCTTAATAGTCATGACTGGGGGGAGGGGAGAAGAAATCAACCTAAAATGGATACGCGTGGTTCAGGTGCCTCTACATCTATGCATGACCAGGACAGAATGTAACAACACACACAACGTCTTGATCCAAAAACTAAGATCAGCAAAGAACAAGCTATATTATATGAGCTTTTCACCTGGTATTCTGAACTAAATATATGAAAAATAATTTATCCATTCTTATAATGCCTGACAAGACCTCAAATATTCCCTCCCATGAGGCATCAGGAAATGACTGTCCATCCTTCAATTAACCTATTACGTACAGTAAAGAAAAAAGAAAAAAATTTGCATATTTTCTTCCCCGGCCTTAAATTTAATATATGGCTCTGCCCATCCCTTTGCTTCCTAGTGACAAGCTTCTTAATCTTGTCCATCACCACATACATGTTTGCTGAAGATACTTTTGCAAGAGGACCGTCTGTCCTACTCAATACTGCAGAGGAAAAATTGAGATAGCTTGCACTTTCTGCACAGGACTGTTTATCTTGAACCATCTGATACAAGAGACATCAGCCTGTACATTTAAAAATACATCTTTTGAATTCACTTGGACTAAGGGCAATTCAAGATGTACTTTCATAAATCTCTATTTTCATATCCCAGTAAAATCAGTTTGCTTGAAACATCAATAGCCTCTGCATATATCCCAAACATAGCCCTCTGATTCATCAAAATATTCTAAATGGTCTTAAAATGAGATCAAAAAGAATAAACAAAGCAGCTGACCTATTGGGAGACACAAGCAAGTCCAGCTACTCGGGTAAGAATTTGCAGTTTCTGTTGAGACTATACATAATACAATCCAGTTTGTATATTATTTTTAAAGGAAAAATTGCAGACTAAGAAATAAATTTAACTCCTTTTGCTCTTCTGTCCTACACCAGGGTACAGGCAAGCCCTGGCATAGGTGCCAGTGTGGCACTTGAAGGCATTCTGCTTGGCATATGGGCCTCTAGGTGGATAGCAGGGAAGGGGCCAGGGCTGCACTGCTACAAAGACTGGGCCCCTCGTGGCTTTCCCACCACCTATCGCTGGCATGCCAACATGTTACAAGTCAAGTTTGCTGGTGTTTTTGGCGCTCTGCCCAAAAACGTTGCTGATCCCTGTCCTACACAGTCAAAAACACCACGGGAGAACAAAGTGGAATCTTCAGGCACTGATGGATGTGAAAGGAAAAAAACAAAACAAAACCAAAACACACAAAATATGCTTTGCCAGAAGCAGCAGCACGTTACTTTGACCAAGCTCCACAGCAGCTGTATAGATCAGGTGCTTCAGCGGTGCTTTTTGGTACTTTTAGCTAAAGCTGATTCAATCAGCGATTAGATAAAATTGCCAAAAAGCCCCAGTAAAGCACCCAATCTATACAGAAACTGGGCAAGCCAGGTTCAGCTAACACGCTGCTTTTTCTGGGCATGCGCTGGGCTCAGCATTGAAGCGCGCCAAGTTTAAAGTAAGATGCTGTTTTGTTTTTGGTTTTTTTTCACATCTGCAAGCAGCCTTTACTTTTGGTGGGGCATGGAACCAAAATGTTCTCAGATTTTCCCACTGGCTTTGCAAATCCAAAAATCAGAAACGCAGCCTTTTCATTCATATACCAATCAGATTTGATTCTGAAGACGCTGGAAGACTAACAGACTGTCAAGTGCTATTTTTACAAACATATCTTAATAGTAAAATCATATCAACAACTGAGAAAGTTGGCAAGTTGTCATCAACTACTTAAATTGCAGTTCAAGTTTTCACAATCCACTCTATTCTGACAAAACTCACTCTATTCTGAAGCTTGAAAAGAAGAATTTTTCCAACTGTTTTAGTTGGTCTACTAAAAGATATCAGATTTACCCAAAGAACCTTGTCTGCGTATATCTACATTCAGAATTCTTTAAAACAAATTACTTTTTAACTGTAATGCCTGGATTCATAGATGTTAGGGTCGGAAGGGACCTCAATAGATCATCGAGTCCAACCCCCTGCATAAGCAGGAAAGAGCGCTGGGTCTAGATGACCCC